ATATATATATATATATATATATATATATATATATATATATATATATCGTATCTCAAAATGTATACATAATTATATTTCGTACTAAATGCCGTAAATATCTCCCGATTTGCTAGTAATGTTTCTGTCTAGGTCAGTATTAGTACACATATCTATACTACATTACCAATAGAACTACTTCATAATTATGGATTTAACATAATGTGACCGGGTGGCTTACTAAATCTTTCTAGGAAGCCACATCATTATTTATACGTTCTCCCACTATCGTGACAGTAAGTGGCTGTTGCTCGGGTCCTCTGAAGAATACATATGGACTGAGGAGAGGATAACATATCTAACATGAATAGCAAGTGCTTACTTAGTGCTGACCACACCTGCATAGCACAGCCATTCCATATCGATTAAGTCCTCCGTGTTCACCATTTCTGACCTTCTCTAAGTGTTAAATGTTGGGTGTAAATATTTACAGTTAACGTGCTCTCGGCTTCAAGGATCATGTGGTTGAAATTCAATAACTTATCTGTGACTTGAAAACAGGTTCATTCGTGACCAGAATATTGCACATTGGACAGTTCAGAGAAACACTGTGGTAAGTAATTTTTCCTTTGTCACTTATATTTCACTACTCTTGTAAACTTCGCGCTTCTGAACGTATCTGGCTTTATTCATCATCTGCCAGCTTAGACTTCTTGGGCAGTCAAAACAGTGTTTGTGTTTACTTGGTACTTCGTATTGCCTATTTCGGATTTGTATCAGTGCTCAGGTTTGCCGCTTGTCAACCTTTGTTTCTCTTCTTGAAAGGCTTTTTCAATGTCATGAGAATTTCTCTACTGTCAGTACTATAGCTAAAGTTTCACAGTCTATCATTTTAGCCAAATCGCACCAAGGCATCGCACTTCCGCAATTTCTGAGGGGTCATTAAGGTTTAAATTCAATAAGCCTACATTTGCCATTTTCACTTTCGTGGTTTTCATGTGTCTGTTCAATTGTTATTGATGTAAACTAGAATGTTTAGCAGGTATACGAAAGTTTCGCACCTGTGTCTACAGTTTAAAATTCTACGAACACATATTTCTGTGAAGACCTAGAAGTTTGAGTTTACTCATCTGGCTTTTTAGGGATTATAATTGGTGTTCATTACAATCACACTGTAGAAAAATGAAAGGCAGTTATTATGAACTGTTTGAAATCTGTCATTACCGGAATTGTATGTTTATTTATAGAACTGGCTAGCTACGATTAGTAACTAACACCGAACAGCCTCTATCAATTAGGTCCGATAACGAATACGCCAGTTTGATTTTAGTAAAAACGACAACTAAAAATCAAAGAGAGCACGATTTTATTCAGTAATCTAGGGTGAATAAATTTAAGTGCTACACTAAAAGTGAAATTCTTATTGTTTCCAATAGTGTCGACAATGATTACCTAGGTTTGATATATTGTTTTCGGGAGTCTTGTGGGTTGGCGTGAAGTATTAGATGTCGTGAATCATGAATAAATTCAGAATCTTTTGTTAAAAGTGCTGAGAAGGATGACGTTTATCACTCTTTTAAATGGTCATTTATTAGCTTCATTCACACATAAGTAATTAAGCCTGAGATTTGATGATAATTTATTCATTGAAATAACACTGAAAGCTGGCTAAAGTAGATTATCATACCAAACGATCTTCAATCTTGAAAACCGATTACAAGATGCTGGATTGATAATGCCCTTAATTTCTTTAGACGCTTAGTAATCTATGTAAATACCACGTCAGAAATTATTTAGAATAGTAAACTAAGAACTTTATAAAGAAGCTCCAATCATCAACAGCTTTTTAAATCTAGACTTATACATCATATCACTTGAGGACTCAATGAGACCATGGAAAAAAGCCCCGAAACATTCTCTTTTCTGAAAAACAATTAAAGTCAGCTACAATCTATGTTTGGGTTATCCTATGAAGCAGTCTCTTGAAGGCACTACAATTCCTTTGTACGGGAACCAGAATATTGAACCGAGAACAGATGTAGCAAGAAAAACGCTGGGGAAATAGTGAGACTCATGAACTGCTAATAGGAAAATCGTTCATTCCCATTTTATTTATTTTTAACGCCAACCAGTAGCAGTGTTGTTCGCATTACCACACACCACTCACAGGTAGTCGATAGGGAAGGAAGCTCATTAATCCATAAGCATGAATATCACACTGTTTGACGCCTTTAATTTAAATGCTTACCATTATTATTATTTATTGTTGATGTAGTAGATTTTTTACCCACTTACTCCCTTGATAAACCTCACCTGAGATTATTAATTTTATTCTGAGGCTGAATTTTTTAGATTTTCGTTTCACCTAGATGTGTTTTCAAATACTTATTCTTAAGGGGATATTGTAGTAGCGTATGCAACAAGGTACTAGAAAAAACATGTTCAACCCGTATGGCCGATGAAATAGTGAAAATTTGTCATCACATCAGTGACTAATGACAGACGGCCACGTCACCCAGCTACGGATTGTGATAACGCGTGCCGACCGGGAAGCTTCCTGAGAGGGTCTTTCTGTCCGGCAATGTCCAAATCGGTAAGTTACGGGTTCTTTTTGGAGTATCTAAGCGACGTACTACACTTATTGGAGTAGCAACACCAATCAGGGTTATCTGCCTTTCGTGGTCTAGAGACAGCTCATTTTGGTGACGAAGTCCTTCGAGGTGTTTGTGAGCGTTTGTGATTAGTATGAACAGGTGGGAGTATAACACCAATCTATAATTTCATCCCATATCATTTGGGGCTTTTCTTTGTCACTAAAAACCTCCATCTTCGAGGCTTTCAGGATAATCGGCACCCGATCGGCACATTTATCCAGCTTGTCGTAGGCGTTATAATACAGTAAAATAAGAGCCATCCGCACCTGTTTGGGAGCCTAAAAAGGGGGCTGTCTAAACAGGCCCTCGTCAACGGTCTTTTAATCGATGACCTCTAACATTCCTGGCAACATTTCTGTTACTGAAGCGTGTCAAAACTAGTTGTGAGGAGCTTACCTAGCCTATGTCGGACGGTCGGGTTTCCACGTTTAGGTATCGGTAACGTTGAAGCTTTATTTGGGTAAGAAACTATTGAGTGTTACAACTGTCCTCATTCATATTCAGTACTGTAGTTGCTGGTCAGTCATAATTTTCTTTCAAACCCACCGTTTAAAAATCTAACCAATTGCTTTGTAACTCTTCGTCTTTCTGGAAATTGGACTAGAAGTTCTTAGTTAGATCCTGTCCTTTGCTTCTTAAACTTCTATAGCGAAAACATCCATCATACAACGGTCGGGTACTGTAAACAGACTATTCAACAGATTTCTATTTGTTACCATCTTCACTTCATTCTATTTTTTGTTACAATACATAGTTTGATTTTCTCCCCAACAATGGCATATGTAGTTATTTGTTCACATTAATTCTGGCTTGTATGTCCGATTTTGCGTTGGTGTACAGAATGACTTGTCTACTGGTTTGTGAAGTTCTATGAATTTTTTATATCAGTCCGTCTGTGGAAACAAAGTTTTTATGTTTGACCAGGCAGAACGCTTTTGTAACTTTAAACGCAACCTAGAATTATAGGTTTATACCCCCACCTGACAAGCACACAAAAGCGAGGAGAACGTAAGAACATAGGTCAAGATATTGTCACAAGGTGACTTAATGGGAAATTTTCGAAGAATACAATTAATGAATTTATTTATATAAGAAAATTTCTGTACTGCATTTTTAACACAATATATATCACTGGTACATAGTTAACTGCTGTCAATTATAATGCTGAAAACCGAAAATCACATGTCTTCCTCATCCTATACTATCACAAGTAAGGCATAAGACATTAACCAAATAAACTGAACATGATCAAGAAAAAAAGGATACATACGCCCCTCAAACAAACTGACAACACTAACACAGAAATGTAATTTATACATAATGAACTGCATGCTTTCGCTTATATGTCAGAATGTTTGAAAGTCAAGTTACCACCAGTTTTATTGCGCAAATTATCTGGAAATTTTGCTTTTGTGAACAATATAACCCTTGAAGCATAAAAAAGCATCACACGTCAGAAAGGTACGTAACACCAACGTAATTGCCTTCAAAATGATCAATAAAATGTCCAACTCATTCCCATCAAGAGTAGCGAAGTCAAAGCAAATAAAGGTCTCAGACGTGACTTTTGTGTTCACAAAGAATCAATCGTGAGCCTTCCATTACCTTGATAACAGAAGCGAAATAAACATTCTGGTACTTAGTCAGTGTACCTGCAGTATCCAAAGTGTGAGCTTTAGTCTTTCGCGTTAGAACTGAACGCTCCAGCTACTGAACACTCATTTTGTTTGGAGATGGTGAAGATTCTACAGGTATTTGTTGTTTTACAACACTTTTATCAGCAAAACCTTCAATAATTTTATCATGACCAAGCAATGAAATCAAAAGTCAGAAGAGAGGAGGTTCGAAGATATATTTGATAGTTTATCAATATATAGACTAATCTAAACTGTCTAGCGGCTGCAGGAGTTGAGCAAAGCCTTCACACTCATGACCTAGTGCGGATGCGTAACCGAGCGCCTTCAGTCAGTTGAGTCCATTAAAACTAATATGGTCAGCACCAAATGTCGAAGCCATACAGGGTTATTGACTTTGGGGATTCATTTACAGCTACAATGGCAATGTCAAGTACTCTTTCTAGCGTCTTGCATATTGTTGTTGTTATTGAATAACTGTCTATCGTATTTATTTATTGTCTAACGCATCAACACTAATGGAATAAAGTAAGGTGGACACGCGACAGAGTATTTTTTCAACATCACAATAGACTACAGTTGACTGTTACTAAAAGTATATTTATTTAGAACAAAGACGAGGGAGCCTGGTCCAAAATACCCTCGATATCTTTAATTGAAAAAAAGGATGAAGCCACGGAGCTCCTTTTCATACAAAGACCTAACACGAGGTCGTGCGCTTGCTTTAGTTTCATAGCTCCTGAGAGTGCACTTTCCAACTGTTACTCCACGATCACATCTACCGTTAACAAGTAACTGTTTAAGGCTGTCAGCTTTAGAAGGTATATAGCAACAGCCAAATTTTCTCATTAATGCGCATCCTATAATAAAACTTGGGCACTGATTCCAAAGAACGGAAAATTTATTCTCTGACTGACCAAATGTTGTTTTCTCAATTTATTATCGTGCTTTTGATAACTAGATGATCCACTTTGAAAGGAATTTCATTTCTAGACTCCGACATCAGGAATTTTTGTTCCAATATTGTTTTTCTACACTATCTGGATATAATTAAGTGAGTCGTAAAATCAACCAAAGGGAATGTCGTTTAAGATTCCGCGAATCGGTATCCAACGCAAGTTATTCGAGTAATTTTACGTTTAACGCAAGTCACTGCTGTATCAGTTCTAATTTAGATGGCATTCAAAACAATCAGAGTTCACAGGATATAAGTTTCAGTGTTCAAAATAATAGCAGCATCCATCAATGTAAAGATGAATTCGAAGACCAGTCGAGTCAAAGTCATTCAGAATATGTAAGCTTTATGCTCTTAAATGAACAAAACGATTTCTCAAGAACTCATCATTCTGGACTTCGCTTCGTAATATTTGGAAACACTCTGATCGTGAAGACACAAGCTTGATTATAGACAAAGACGATGAACATAATGATGAATTAAAATTAAGGTAAAATCTTCTTGTCATTTTCACACGTAATCATCAGCAGTTTACTAAGCGACATAAGCGAGACCACGGATTACTTAATGAACAAGGTAGGCTTGGTATGTTGATAAAAAATTGTTATGCCATTTTCAGATAAGTATGTCAGAAAAAATAATTGCATTTGCGAACCTAAACGGCAACTCACTTAAAACTACTTCAGAATCAGTAAAAAATCTATCTTATGGAAAGAACATTATTATCGATAAACAAAATGTATGTGTACTGTCTTATGGTAAACCGTTTAGTATTTAAATGCGTTTTCGGAAAAAGTGAAAGAGTTTCCTCTTTCCATGACTGAACGTTTAGATAGGTATGAACCTTTTAAAAGACGAGCCTTCAGGATCTTTTCGAAAATTGAAAATTCTATGGCTGACGAATCAAGCAACTTTGATCGTTTACCTGCGTCATCTCGCAACGATTTAGAACACGCTGTTGTGACTCTAAGGAATAAACTCAAGTCTTTACAAGAAAGCAGTTAGTGTTTCTGTAGCAACTAAGTGAAACTTTCAGGCAATCGAGACGAATTCATGTTGTGTGGAAATATACTGCGCAGTAATGGAGTCCCAACACAAAATAAGAAACAGCCAGCACATGGACTTAATAAGTACATGGTACTATTGACAGTTTGTCTTCTTGAACTTTTCTAAAGTTGTCTAGTACAGGATCAGGACTCTCTATTCACATGAAGTTTCGGACACCTCTTTCGATTGCTGCGAGAAAACCTAATATCCGGTCGGTACCAAGGTTGATAAATAATTCACGGTATGTTTACAATTTATTGGTAGTTTAAGAAAGGTAAGAGACAAACACAAAAAAGCAAGTGTTTTCAGAACATCCAGTTTGATATTTGATTTTTAAGTGATTCTTTATATATACAGGTACGATGAGTTATTTTAACTTGTGGAGAAAATGATACTGGATCAATCATGAAGCTCACAACCACCGAAAATTTTATTTTCTGAACTCTATAAGGTAGATTTCTAACGGGTAATCCACCAAGAATTTTGGTGTGGTACTTTGAATAACATATGAAGTTTCTTATAGCTTATATTTGCCTCAATAAACATGGAGTATTTAAAATAGGGTACGGAACGGGCTAAGTTCAGAAATATTCAAAGGTCATTGTTTAACTCTTTTGAATAAAGGTTTGATAAAAAACTTGAAGATTGAAACCTAGAAGAATGTGGAACCATGTAGCTTTGGGTTGAGTTTCTGAAGATATTTCGAAATTCGAACTTTTAATACACTGGTATAGTTTGGAGAGTTGTAGACACATAATGACTCGATACTGCAGATAGTTTTTACGAAAATACTCAGGAAGGATAAAAAAAACTTTCGTATACGACATGGTAGTGCATTTTTCAAACATATCATATTTACAAAAACCAACTGCTTGCTTAACACGAAAATGTTGAGGGTTACGTCATGAAAGCAGAATCGTGTCTATAAATGCTGTCTATTATTTGAGGAGTCATACGACTTTAAGAAAGTAAGTGACAGGTCTTTTAGGTTAAGCAAATTTTTGAATAAAAAACGGGAACATGTCGTAGCGGTTGTTACGCAATCAACAGAAACTAGATAAAAGTTCATAATGTCATCAATTTGGATAATGTATAGAGAATTCAATCAGTTCGTGAGCTAACACCATTCATTTTCATTTCAATGATTTAGAGAACAAAAATATATAATGAAGATTACGCAGATCACAGAACATGGAAGACAAGCAAGTTTCAATTGAAAGACGAATCCAAATACTACCAAAATACGGATTATTATATACATTCACCTGAAGTGACATCTGATAGCAGTGACTGTATATCTTTATCTAGTATATCTGATATATAAATTACTGAACCCAGTATTTTCAATTTTTCGACGTACTGAGGACATAATAAATAGAAATTGCGCAACATGACAATAGTGTGTGTAGATACTGCAAAGTATTATGAAAAATTAATGCCTTGCAAAAATGTTATGAGAGTATTCAATCACAGAAAAAGCTAGTTGGAAATGATTAAGTTGCATGAAGAAAACAAGGCGTATAGTGATCCTGACTCATGTATATTGCTGTTTGGGTTAAAATTCATCTCGTTGCACAAGCCAGTAGCCATCTGGACTAAGTAGCTAAGTGGATAACGCGACGGGGTTTAAAGCGAAAGTACTGGCTTTAAGTTCTGGGGTGGAAATAACACTAGGATGCAGGTACACCCAACTGACAAGTCCCAAATCAGACGAAGCACGCCTCCCAGATTCCACTGCTCGCTGCATCCATCTCTTCTTAAAAGGCGTAGAGTTGTGGAAGACGATATCCTTTGTAGTAACAATAGTTCAGTATCCCTTCTGAGACTATGAGATACGCTGATTCCCATCAAATGTAAACTGTTGCACTGACAACCAGTATGACAGTCAAAAGTAAAGTAGTTGAGTACGTTGACTGTGTCTCTGACTCTCGAAAGTCTTAAATTAGTGACTTACAATAATTCAGCACAAGTATGAGAAGTCCGTCTAGGTTTATTGAACTTGTGTCATCCGTGACGCTGGCTGAATGCTTATTTTTCTGCTGAAAAGAAATTCAATTAGTATAACTAACATGAGTGAAAAACACATTCTGGAAGCAGAGGACATGTGAGTCGCAACGTTTTCGAAGTATTGCTAACGTGTGTTGGAACAACTGATTGAGTAATGATGGTTCCATGTAAAAGTAGAAAACAGATTAGCACGATAGTTAACTTTGATCAACTAAAGTGGTTAAGAGATGCGTCAACTACTTATGGCCGTCAGTGAGCAAAAATGACTAGCGTCTAGAAAGTCGAAAAAAGTCAAAATGACGTTGAGATATATTATTGCTACATAAAGGCGATATGCATATGTCTGTGCTATGTTGGCAAACGTAAGCAACTTGTTTAGTCCTCAAAAGTTAGTTATTTTGACTTGAATTCACTTTCTGTCATCGTTATAACCATTACTTCCTTTCAGCATCATTCAGATCTTGTTTTTAACTACTTAATGTCCCTTTACTGCATGCGTATCAAGAGTGATAATTCGCATAAGTAAATATTTATGTTAGGTTCAACATTGTTCCGCTCTTCTTTTTGATCCTAATTTGATGGAGTGTGACAAAAAACACATTTTAGACTAGATATTTTACTTATATTTGGTTAAATCTAACAGTATTCTTTAAGAGAAACTTATTTAGTTTTATGAATCTCGAAAAGCATCGAGTATCGCTATAGTTATTTACGAAATATTTTATGTTTTAAATACGATTTGTATTACACAATGTCTTAAGATAATTTTCAAAGAAACTTGTTTCCTAAAAATTATACTGAACAAGAAAATTTATATAAACTTATCACTAGACGTTTTTTGAAATGGTCTGTTTCTCACTGTTTTTAATCATTGAGAAAAGATTAATGTAGTGGCTTTAAGTAATGCTACTATTTTCAATTTTTTTCCGATTAAATCAACCTTGAGAAGTTTCAGGGGTTATCACATTCATTAAATGTACGATGTAAAAGAGTAGAATCGATATAACGCTGAAATGATCAATGCCCAGAAATATTCTAACAGGACAAACTAATGGCGATTTATTTATATACAATATATTCAACAAAAACACCATGACTGAGTACGCGTCACATAACAAAAAAAAGAAAATAAATCATGAATAGAAATAGAGATAAAAAGCTAATTAATGATCATCACATTTTTAGTAACCATAGCACATACATTGATTGTCATACCTTTAAAAATTATGGAAAGAATACACATACTGTAATACAAAATTTTTTTAAACCAAAGAATCAAATTGTAGCGAAATTCCGAAGGTAATTTTGTAAAAATTCATATTATGATATGACACATCCACTGTCATTTTTCGGATCTTTATCAGTACTAAAAATAGGCATTTCACGAACTGGCTCAACTGGTTCATCTTTGGTTCCAGAATGTTTGTGATCCTTTGAATTTTTCTGACAGAAAAACGGTAAAGGTAGCAAACACAGACGGAGTAAAAATTAAAAATTACTTTATTACAGATTGCGAAATACAGTTTAATTTAATATAAAAATGATTTACAGATCGCGAAATTACGCGTTACTCACACTTAGAACTATTTTTTCTATCTTACTTCATCTTCTTTGAAGCATCTGATAGGATCGGAACCTACATATCCATAATATTTTTAAACTAATGATTGAACATTACAAAGTACATAAGGTAGAAGTTTGAAACATCATTCTCCAGGTCCCCCGTTTTGTCAATCAATGTATTACCTAATTAATACACTATCATCAGGTAGATTTCTTCTTCATAATTCCTCTATAATTTCAAGTATAAACTACGTACCAAAAATATTGATTCTGACAAATGAAGTCACTAAACAAGTCACGTTCCAAAATGAATTGGTTTAGTATCAAACATGAGTGATCAGGTCAGAATTTGCCGTCCAAAGATAATCAAAAATTTAGCAATTCCCAGTAGTTTACATCTAGTATTACAAGATAAGTACAACAATCAACTACTGAAATGGGTTCAAAAATATAAATAGAAACATAGACTGTACTGTTTGCTATTAACTTGTATAAATTAGAAACCGAAGTTTAAACATCTGTCATATATATGGTCGTAGTCGAAAACAGCAAAATAATCTGTTTAAACATTTCTCCTTAAAGTATAACTTCTAAAAAGTATCAAATTTTATGTTCACACATATAAACACTCGTTCAATTTTTTTCATAATTGATCAGAGCTTTATTTGTTGTGCTACTAATTATGTGGAGAATGCAGTAAAAGGAATGTTATTTACTGAATGAAAACTGAAAGTCCAATTTAAAAGATCTAGAGTTATTTTAAAGTTTCGAATTGTGCTACGACTTGTAAATGATTGAACTCGTCTGTATTGTCAATAACAAAAATTCGTCAGTAAATTTATGAAAACTTTCTTCAATAAAGAGTGAAATATTTGTCAAGGAATGGATACTTGATGTAATTTAACTATTTGTGGTTTTAAAATGTCATATAAACCAGAAAGATAAAAGACATCATAAAATTATTATATCTCTCTGACAATCCACCAAACGATACTATTCTTTAAAAACTACACATAAAACAATAGCCGTTTTACATAAAACTGTGAAAAGTAGGTAAAGAGATCCTTTAAAATGTTTAAAACATAATATAGGGCTTGGAAGTACACACATATTTGTGCACTATCCAGTGACTCTATACATGTGTTGAGTAACACTGACTATTCAAACCGATGTATGTAGATTTAGTTCTAAGCAGTGGTGTTGAAAGCCCTAGAAATTTACTTGGAAAAGTTTTCCGAATCTGAAAAAAGACTAAACATACTTAGTTCAGTCAGCGTTCAATAGAAACTTTCTAGTTTTTGAAAAACTACAAAATTACTTGTCATACCTTGACTTAACAATAATCGATTCTGTTATAATGGTATTTTTTCAGGAGCTATTAGGATATGAAGATCACAACACAAACCTATAAATATTCATGCTTCCTGCACCTAAACTAACAATGGAAGTATAGCTTCTTTTCATACCTCACACTGTTAGTATTCTCTTGGAGACCAAGTATGGGAGATACCTATGGAACTGAGAAGCGATTATGATGTTAATATCAAGCATTTAAGTACCAGATATCTCAGGTGACCCACAGTTCAGAGAAAAGACGGGTAAGCCGCGGCTTTTGGCCTATTTATCAAAAACGAAGTAATACAAATGAGTACTGTGGTATTGCGATAGTAACTACTAAGAAGCTTATAATGGTGTCAGAAAGTTAACTTACGGAGTTTGATAAAATATTCTCCACTACTTTGCTAGTATCAAAACCAACGTAAGCGTCTTTCCATCTGGGATCTAACTCGAAATTGAGCTCAGGTTCTTTGGGCGCTGCGATGCCATATTCCGCTTTTATTTCCAAAAATGGAGCGACACTTGGAACTTTCTGATGATATCTAAATTTATTAAAAAGATTATCGAGGAGCAAATGAGTTAACATGTGAATTGTCACTGTAAAGGAAAAATTAAAACGGTAACGCAAGCACAGCAAATTAATACTCACTGTCAAGCGACAAAATGTGTCCAAATAATGTAGTTGGTGATTGGCTAGTGAGTAAAAAAAACAACTCCAAGCATAGTATGTATTTTGAACTAACTTGATATTGTGTATGGCTTCTTGGCATTCTGTATCTGTGCAATATATATTATTGATATCAAGTCCTTGATCAGCGATCAGATAAGTGTCTACAGTAACATAATCTAGTCAAACTACATGTTACAATACAAAATATAAATCCATTCTTAAAATAATCAGGATAATTTTTGAAAGCGAAAAATTGTTCGTGATAAAGTTGGTAACTATTCGGAAGCACATTAAAAATGAGGCTTTCTAAAATGCAGCTATAGAATTTGACATAAATACTACTTTTATGAAAAATATTTGAAAAAAAACATTACTTTCTGAATCATTCATATTTCGCCCTCATATGATTTAGCAGGTTATTAGTTAATAATCATCTTCACAAAGAGATTAAGTAACAGATATTTTCGATAAACCTCAAACGAAACCGATACTGAAATATCAGGACGTATGAAACGTTTCACACTTCAGCATTGTCCGACGAAGCCAGACCGGTAAAATGAAAATTGGAGAAAGTGTCGGACAAAGTCTATTGATTTCAAACGACTCCCAGATTTATATAAAGATTAATTATAAGTGGTATCCAAATACTTAGGAAACTCAATTGGTTGAAAATGTAATTAAGCTTAAAGGTAAGAAAAGTGTAGTAAAAGGCAATGCAGAGTTATAAATACTAACAAACGATAACGTTTAACCGTTACACCTTTTTTGAAAAATTCCCCAAATGTACAGCGAAGACTAAAATAATTAAAGTGAAATGACAAGTTTTTTTTAAATAGGAAAACTTTAAATTTTCAGTTTTGTTAGCTTTTTTCGAGTTCATATTTGCTGTTCTATCATCCATATGGTTATTTTGTCTTGCAGTTCGTCAATTTTCCGATCTTAAGATCACTATATTAATATATATAATAGATTGTTCTATTTCAATACTGAATTCTCAACTTTTTAGAATATCAAGCTCTGTTTGCATTCATTGATTATTCCTGGGTTGCATATTATAAATTATTGCTGAAGTGATGTGTTAATTGTTGTATTATCGAGTTTGCAATAGATTCCATTCATATCAGAAGAATCCTGATCGTTCATAATTAGAAATTACTGTAAGCCCAACTCAATCATAAACTAGAAACCGAACAATTTTCACCTAGATCTACCAATTCAAACTAATGCGTCGGGTCAAAGAAAACCGTGATTAACCAAAGGATGAATATCAATGTGTCTGGCTCCACTAAACATAACGGATCCATACATGGTTACTAAATTGCTGAATTGAAGACTCAGATTAAAAATTTTGTAACCTCATTCCGTATAAATAGTTCTAAGTAATGAGAGACCAAAAGAATTTTTGACAAAATTCTAAATAATTAAAGTTCACAACAACAAAAGAAATAAATTCTGTTCTGAAATATGGATACAATGAATCACGTGTTCACGATTTATTTCACTCATCGAAAGTATAGATAATTCAGTAAAATTGATCAACCTATAAGCTACTATAAATTTGATAAAATTATGTATCGTCATGACCTTTTAGACAATTTATACTTGGAAACAAACCTATTGCAACTCACATTTCTAGAATATTCAATATTGATATATCTTGTGATAAAACGATTATGATATTGACTGAATTATCATTAAGAAAGTATGATTATATCCATTTAATCAATATTACTAATATCATACTTAATTACATTTTAGAAAATAGGTTATAAAATAAGCAGAAATTAAGCGATGTCATAATGTTATAAAATTAAAGAAGACTGCAAATGATCAATCTCTCAGCTGCGATACAAACATCCTAAACTGATGACTTCGATACGGCGTTATGTCATAAATTTTAGTATATTTTGTGAGTAGCTATCAATGGGGTCCATAATCCAAGTTACATCCTATTCGGCACTTTTCAGTTGAATGTACCTAAATTTGTGATGATGTTCACATTAGGATTCGAACTCAGTACCTTTTCCTCAGTAGCTGATACAATGATGCCCAAAAGTATCCTAAAAATTAAGTCTTAATTGAACTAAAGGAATTCAAAGGTTTAGGTTAGCAATATGGTTTTATGATCAGTTATTACTCGGCCACATTTCGTATCACTACATATCATTCATCAACCAACATTCCACTTATTGATTTCAACAATCGGAAATTCTCTATTTAAATGACGAAACTCTCCTTTACAAAAGTAGATCGGTGGATAACCTTAAAGATGTATAAAGCGAAAGGTACTATTTAATTTCAAATGATTTAGGGTTAAACTGTCGTTGATATTTTGACTGGAATTTCATCAGTCTTTATCAACGGAACAATCTAAATCCATTACGAATTAAATTAAAACACATACTCATGGCTACTTATATTAATTAACTAAGTGAATAACGTGATGGAGAGAAAGTTACTGGGTCCAAATCAGGTGGTAGACATCAACTCGAAAATCTAACTAACGAGCCAAAAAATGAGACGAAACATGTGTCCTGAATTCTACAGCTAGACGCATACTAAATGAATCGAACCTTGCAACTAAATGGTTAAAAATGATATCATTCATGAAAAAATACTGGTCAAGGTTAATAACTTGGAAACACGCAATAACGTACATTAATCCATTTTCACGTTCACATTTATTATGTGTACGTTCAATTAGTCCAGGCAGACGACGGAAAAAACAATGATCAGGTGGTTTAGTTGACAAACTGACACCTTCAACTTTTGTGTATTCACGCGCAGCACGAATCGCCTTCTCATATGCTTTAAAAAATATATATACAACAGAAGAAACTTTAGCCGACAGAGACGTTGCACAAACGTTAAAGATGATTTGCCAAAAGCTAGTAATTTCTCAAACACACTAGCAAGTATGGGAGTGTTGGATATAATATTAATTCTACAGTAAAATACTAAATCACCCAGCACTTTGATGTAATTGAACTAGATTCCCAGTTGATTAGTCAGTCATCTTAGAGCTTTGGAAGTGCTTATTGATCTAAGATATTATACCATATCAGCACGACGAGACGAAACCAACATAATAATAATAAAAGCAGTCAACATAACTGTATTATCAGTGATATTCAGGAAGTCTAAACATTGACAATATTGTTCTGAAAGGAATAGAAATATATGTATGAGGACATACGAGAACTCAAGATCCATGAGAAGATAAAGAGTGAATTCATCGACCGCGCTGTAGACGATTATAAGCCGTCACGGAAATTCTCCAACACCCTATAACAATTATCGTGCAAACCTAATCAAGTAGTCTATATACATCATCATGATGCAGACCGACAGTAAATAACTTCTTAAATTGATATCACGTTTTTATTTGGACACCCCTAACTTTATATTTAAATTACACTTACACCAGCTGAAATCACCTGTCGAGGTTGCCGGTAGTTAGGCATACGAAAAATTTAATCAGCTTTACTTGATAAATGTACTAAAATCAGATAATCACAAAAAAAACTTACGAGCAGATGCCTCTTTAAGAATTGCCACAGCTTGACCTGCCTTTCCCTTTTCCAATAAGTCCTCACCATAGTAAACATACGCCTTTAAGAGAAGTAAATTTTTGACAGATGAGAATTAAATTGAAATACCAATGACACTGCATTTATAGTGATGAATTATTAAGTTAGATGATGTATGAAATAACCAGGAAATTTTATGTACAAAATATATATCATCTTTGATAAAAGTTATGGTTAACAAACAATGGAATGATTATCATAGTTCTATTGACTATTTTTCTACAAATAATATTCAAAGTAGATATCAAGACTTAGGATGGATTACTTTCCCCCAAAAAAGTAACCTCAAAACGAGTAGAAACAAAAAATATTCACATATGTTCTAAATTTACAAATCCCGCGGATAATATTAAATAAGTTATGTTGCTCCTTGGCAGGATCTCTTTGATACAGATTAATTTCGTCATACAATAATGCTATTTTCCATGAACCCTACTTTGATTTATCTCTTACTCATTATAGAACTGCTAACCTACAAAAAATATTATACTTAATAGCATATATAAGGTGTACTTACAGTGACGTCACAGTACACAGTAAAAGGAGAGGCCCGAACAGTGAAGGATCTCCGAAGTTTGTCTTTACCGAATGGGGATATCGAAGGCAGGAGAATAATTGCTTCGATTACGTATATTTACCTATTTTCTTACTGGTAATGATTTTTTACACACTACAGAGTTTACCTAGTTTATCATACGGTCTAAGGCTTTGGTGTTTATAAATATCATCAGTTTGCTTCTAAATGACCAAATAATGTATCGAGTTGCAAACCAATTTACTACTGCAACATGTGAAGGGATCGAGGTGTCATAACTTCATGCGATAAGTAACAATAGTATTACGATGACATAATGGACCATGTGAAAATACCGGTGTGAATAATCTAGTCAAACTGATAATTTGCTAACGAAAACTAGGTCTAAATTCCTATTGAATGACTATCAGTAAACAGCTTAACTTTGAATCAAAACTGTTCTCTACAAATTACCTATGTTCAACCGAAAAAGTTATAGTTGAGTTATGTATCAGACAGCAAATAATTAATTGAGCAATGAAATGAATGTTACAACAAATACAGAGAAAAACTGTCATTTTATGAAGGTTAATAACACATGATAATCATGGCTAGTACAATGAACTTGGTTTAGAGGTTTGATGCAGTTAATTATCGAAAAATAAGTTTAAACTAAATTAATACACATCAAAATATCTATATAAACATTTAGGCGTACAATATAAGATCTCAATATTTAGGTTGGAGCCACTTTTATCACAATATACCATTCAAAAGTAAACAATGATCGTGGTGGACCGTATTACCTATGACAACACCAATGATTAATAAACAGATGATGTAAAGAATAAGGTTAACAATGTTTTCAAAATAATTATTATTCAGAAATTTGTTTTAGGGAAAGACTGATTGACGACAGGCTGGTTAACGATAATGTAGAATTAAAATGTTGCTTACCGTTATCTAGACATTATAACAATTTTCTATAAACACTTAATATGTAAACCAAACAACTTTAATTTGAATAATCGAAAATAACATTTTAATAGATGCCAAGTTATAAGTTGTTTCTGAATAACTAATATTTTTTGAAAGATATGCAAAAAGTATATTGTCGTAATATAAATTCAAGTTGTTGTTAGCTTTTTATTAGCTTCCAAAAACAAGAAATTCATCAAGGACACTAAAAGAACTTACATTTTACACAGGATAAGAAAATCAAACGTAAGGATTATAAGCTAATTTACAGAAAGGTGTAAAACATCAGTAGTTCAAAAGGTGTAAATTATGATTAAAAAAAGATTAGGACAAATGCAAATGACTTAGGTTATAAGCGACTTCAATTATTCTTATCATATTTCAAAGAAAATAAACCTAAGAATGTTTCAGCCTAAAAGAAGCGTTCAACTTTACAATGGGTTGTAAGCGCGTTCAGCTCAAATATATACTACAAAACTTATTCCTTAAAATGTAAAAACCTTCTTTGGACGATAAAAAGGATTCTCAATTTTTGATTTTGATTTTGTAACGACGTTATAGTTACATATTTTTGAAGCATTCTGAATGAATAACTGTGAGTCAACGTTCATGTTTTAAAAAATGTTTTGCCAAAGGCTAAGAAAATTTAATCCATTTTCAATGAAGTGTAATACGAAAATTAGAGCCCATTACACAACTCAAATGTTTGATAATTATAAAATAGGGTGAACCATGCTGATAACTTACAAGAATGGCAAAAATGATCGGTAAAAATAAGACGAGTACTAATTGAATAGCAATTTCACTAAGATGAACAGATACCTATTTCTTTATTATACGTTATTATATAAGGTTACAAATCTCTTCATCATATAGCAAAGTTACAACTTTGCCACATTGAATCAAATAATATAAACTTGCTTTCCAATTAAAGTACTTAACGACTAAGTGTTCAACACTATGATTAAATGGTAGCGTCATCATACTGGATTGTTGCCTTTATGAAATATCGAATAAATTCAGCAGGATAAGACAAATGCTACTGTTTCACAATTATCGCGATTCAGATATAAGTATAAGTCATAACGAGTAATGTGATCGTTCACATAGGCAAATTTGCTACCCAAATGAACATAGTTAATCTTATTTTTACTTCTTGAATACTCATATTAACTATAGGTATTTTATTCACCGAATACACTGTCATAGATAATGTATTCATTCAATTAGTTCAGTTGATCAAGTGTCATTATCGTGTATCATAATCTGAGTTGAACACCAAAATATGTGACCGTCAAACACGAATAAACAACATTAACTCACTAAAACACCAATAGAACAAATAAATACAAGAGTTATTTGTGATATATACATAAAATTCTACATGGAAATCACTCAAGATCCGAAATTCAAGTCAATCAGCTATAACGTAGGTCCATGCACATATATGCATCAGTCCAAGTTACCACACCTCATCAGCACAACAATATGATCACCAAACTCACAGAAGTGTTTACTTCAATTGTAGTAATATAATAAAAGAAGCATTGTATATAAGGATATAATGCATGAAGAAAGAATTAGTTCACAGAAAGGTATAAAGTAATTTTAATCTCCCAGTTTAAGAGAAGACAAAGAGTGTATGCACCTACGCCATTGTGATCGATTCTGGGCCATGTCACCCAGAATCTCCAACCATTGATTACGATAGTCACGCGAACCCCAACCACGTAGTCTACATCTGCCAACAAGGCTCAGACCAGAAGTTAATGACTTCAAGGACTGATGCCATGTTTTAGTTTGGTCGCCCATAACTTTCTCCCAACCGTCTCCAACACTTGTCAGCATTGCGCGCCGTGGTAATCGGTGTTCAGGCATACATAACACGTGGCCCAACCATCTCAGTCGATGAAGATTCACAACCTCATCAACTGATTTACCATTATTCCCTAATACCCTGTGTCCAATCTGACTATTACTTACCCGGTGATCCTAGCAGATGATGGCAATATTTCTAAAACATCTGTGATCAAATACTAGTAACTTACGAGTATTTTCTACCCTTAATGGACACGTTTCATAGCCGTAAGGTAAAACAGAACAAAATGCTGCGTAGTGTACTCGTTTCTTAGTTGATAGACGGATATCTCGCCTTCTCCGTAGGTGGCGTAAGTTGGCAAAAGCCAAACGAGCTTTTCGAATGCGTGCAGAGACTTCATTAGACACCAACCCATTAGGGCCGATCAGACTTCGAAGGTAAGTGAAGTTGTCAACGCGTTTAACTTCTTCACTCGCCATCCTTAATTCAGATGTTGACGCAGAACAGACCTGAAGCAGCTTTTTGGATTTAGAGGGGGAGAAACGCATTACAAACATCCTGGCATCGTTGTTGAGTGCTGCCAAGAGACTGAATTTTATCAGCATCTTCATCAAACAGGACCATATCATCTGCTCGGAATCCAAGTAGTACATAACAGATGAATTCGGAAAGAAAACATATATACATCGCGATTCTATGTATTCAAGTGGATGAATAATGATATTATAGACAACATTAAGATGCCTATATCCCTGATGATTTAAGAGGTATACAACGGATAGCTACGATTAAAGATCAACAAATGAGTAGACAAGTCAAATTTTTGAATAATGCCAATAAATAATTATCTAAAACTGATAAACATCTTACTTAATAGAAACAAAAGCTATTCATTAGTTGTACAAAGTCTATACACTTACATATGATTCATAACAGAACTGTTTAAATTCTGAATATTTTTTCCATTTCCCAACAATTTTAGGATTACATTGTGTTAAAGCCAAACCTGAAGAAAAATAAAAAATTCACAAAGATTGGCAGCAAAATGGACTCTAAAACTTTACGTGGTGCTGGGTAGTGAAGGCAACCTTGCTAGCAAAAGTGAGCGGTCTGCTGAGATTGAACTGATCCACCATTTCTATGCTGATTTTGGATTACTCGGAGTTCACTCTCCGAGGCTTTAAAAGTGATGACGGGTTGCCCCATATGTATGGATTGTAGAAGTCTCTGCTTGTATAGTTTATGTATGTAGGTATATGCAAAGGGTACGCGCGTGAGTCAGCACAAAGAACGTAACCTGAAAAAAATATCCGCTGTATATATGATAAAATCAGCGGCCTAATCCTAATGGTCGAAAAACATAATGAAAAAATATGGCACTAAATAATATGGAGAAATGACCATCAATCATCCCTGAGATAGTGCTTACGTGTGTGCAGGTAATAAGGTGCATAGATGAAAGTCTTTGGACATAAGTATGCATGTTATGCGTGGGAGACAGTCAGTTGTAGCATATACTTTCGAAAGGAGTGGTGATTATTTATTCCCTCAGATGAGACAATATATGCATATGGATGCCAAGGGATGCATAGGTGAAAACTTTTTACTGGTATGCATGTAAACTGTATTTGCCCCTGGTACTAGGGAATGATGGTAAATCAGTTGATGAGGTTGTGAATCTTCATCGACTGAGATGGTTGGGCCACGTGTTATGTATGCCTGAACACCGATTACCACGGCGCGCAATGCTGACAAGTGTTGGAGACGGTTGGGAGAAAGTTATGGGCGACCAAACTAAAACATGGCATCAGTCCTTGAAGTCATTAACTTCTGGTCTGAGCCTTGTTGGCAGATGTAGACTACGTGGTTGGGGTTCGCGTGACTATCGTAATCAATGGTTGGAGATTCTGGGTGACATGGCCCAGAATCGATCACAATGGCGTAGGTGCATACACTCTTTGTCTTCTCTTAAACTGGGAGATTAAAATTACTTTATACCTTTCTATGAACTAATTCTTTCTTCATGCATTATATCCTTATATACAATGCTTCTTTTATTATATTACTACAATTGAAGTAAACACTTCTGTGAGTTTGGTGATCATATTGTTGTGCTGATGAGGTGTGGTAACTTGGACTGATGCATATATGTGCATGGACCTACGTTATAGCTGATTGACTGATGTGTACCGGTTCAAGTCGCCACATTACATCCACACAGTAATATTAAATTATAGAGACAAATTAATTAGTAGTAGGCGTAATAACGGTAAGAAGGACACTACATCAAGATTCCAATGAAAGGAGATCTGAGCAAATGTGAAAACTACAGGGGCATTACACTACTGTCAGTACCAGGTAAAGTCTTTAAAAAAGTGTTGCTGAACCAGATGAAAGATGCAGTAGAAGCCCAACTTCAAGATTCACAAGCTGGATTCCGTAAGGATCGGTCGTGCACAGACGAAATTGTGACACTACGGATCATCGTCGAACAATCAGTTGAGTGGAACTCGTCACTGTACATCAGCTTCATTGATTATGAAAAGGAATTTGACAGTGCAGATAGGAGAACCTTACGGAAACTTCTTCGACACTACGGAGTTTCTGAGAAGATTTTCAACATTATCCGGAACTCATACGACGGACTACAGTGCAAGGTCGTGAATGGAGGACAACTGACAGATGCATTCCAAGTAAGGACCGGATTCAGACAAGGCTGTCTACTCTCCCCCTTCCTCTTTCTTCTGGTGGTCGACTGGATTGTGAAGACCTCGACATCTGAGGGAAAACACGGCATACAATGAACATCTCAGAACCAATTAGACGATGTGGACTTCGCAGATGACCTATCTCTCCTGTCCCATACACACGAACAAATACAGATAAAGACGGACAGTTTATCAGCAGTCTCTGCATCAGTAGGCCTCAACATATACAAGGGGAAAACCAAGTTCCTCAAATACAACAGGGAGAACAGCGATCCAATCACTCTTGATGGCGAAACTCTGGAAGATGTAGAATCCTTCATATACATGGGAAGCATCATCGATGAACAAGGAGGTTCAGATGCAGACGTGAAGGCGAGGATCGGCAAAGCAAGAGTCGCATTCCTACAATTGAAGAACATATGGAACTCAAAACAACTTTCAACCAATATCAAAGTGAGAATCTTCAATACGATCGTCAAGACAGTTCTACTGTACGGAGCTGAAACTTGGAGAACTAAAACAACCATCATCAAGAAGGTGCATGTATTTATAAATAGCTGTCTACGCAAGATACTCAACATCCATTGGCCTGATACCATCAGCAACAGCCTTCTCTGGGAGAGAACAAACCAGCTTTCAGCTGAAGAAGAAATTAGGACGATGGGAATGGATAGGACATACATTACGCAAATCATCAAACTGCATCACGAGGCAAGCCCCAACTTGGAATCCTGAAGGGAAGCGGAAAAGAGGAAGGCCAAAGAACACATTACATCGGGAAATCGAAGCAGATATGGAAAGGATAAATAAAGACTGGAAGGAGCTGGAAAGGATTACCAAGAACAGGGTTGGATGGAGAGGCCTATGCTCCTTCACGAGTAACAGGCGTAAGTAAGTAGTAAACGTAATAACAATATCCGTAGCAGCAGATAACAGTAGACATAATGAATATGATTCAATAAGAATGAACTTGAGAAATAGAAGGTATAAGCACTTCAATACATAGAATAAGTGAATCTACACCATTGTGACCGATTGTGAGCCATGTCATCCATCTCCAATCACTCACTAAGACAATTGCAAGGACTCCAACCATGTAATCTACAATTGTCTACACGGCTCATTCCAACAGTCAATAAATTTATGGGCTGTGGCTTGATTCGGTAACACCTAGATTTCTTCCAGCTTACTCTTACGTCAACAATCACCACACATCGACATAGGCACCAAAGTCTAGAACCCACCTGAAATGAGATTCCCGGTCACAAAACCTAAGACATGAAATCTCGAGAGAGGATGTTACACTGATGATATTAAATAGGAAAGAAAGATTAGTTCAGCGAAGAGTTCTATTTTCGGAGAATTCATTTTCAAAGCTGTACAATCGCAAATATATATACTTATTTTTACAGGGTGATACTAATACTGATCATAAACTTATGTTATACATGGTAACAGTGAGGTTAAATAAACAAAGGTAAAAAAATTTTAAACAAGGAAAGTCTAATAATCGTTTGATAGTTAATGGCTGAAGTATTCATTGGGTAAGGATGGCTCAGCATGATAAAATAAAATGTTGAAACAGAGATGAAATGTGATCGGAATGATCGTAGAAATAAAAACAAACCGGTTGGGGGTAGAAGATTTAAAGGGAAGATGGGAGGTGAAGCAGGTGGCTGTAAGGGAACAAGAGTATGAAGAAAGAGAAAAAATTTTAATACATTAAGGCCATGGTAGAAGAAGAGGTTGTACCAGTCTCTTTTGTACACATAATTGTCGGACGTCGATAAGTATGCCTGTGTTCTAGAACCTGACGAATGGTGAATATGTGGTCGATGCAGCCACAACCAGGTCTGAAGCCAGCTTGATTTTCTCGTGCTTGCAGTTCACGAGTCTTAGTTAAGCATCTGATAATTATCGAGGCTAATATTTTAGATACTATATTAGTCAAACTAATCCCTCTGTGGTTGTTACAGGATGATTTTGACCCTGTCTTATATATTGGGACGATAAGTGATTTCGACCAGTCAGATGGAATAACATCTAACTCCCAGATCTTAGCTAAAATATTAGTCAACCTAATCGCTAAAATTGGACCACCATCCTCAAAGACCTCTGGAGCCAATCCATCTGGACCAGCTGCCCTTCCTCGTTTCAGATTAACTATAGCCTTTTGAACTTCTGCTAGAGTTGGGGGACCTACCTCAATGTTCCATTCACACTGTCTGGGAATGGAGGGTAGTTGTAGAGTAGCTGAAGGCCAGCTGAACTGTTCTCTGAAATGTTCCGTCCATCGTTCTAAACGTCTGGACTGGGAGTAGATGAGAGTATCGTCTTTTTCCGAAATAATCTCACTTACACTTGACTTATTAGTTCCAGTTTCTTTTATTAGTCTATAAAGCTGTCTTGTGTTCCCTATAGTCGCCGCCTTTTCCATCTCTTTTGCTTTCGCCACTCAATCAAGACAGACTCTACGTTCAAAGTCATCTACAAGGTAAGTAGAAGCCTTCCTAAGACAATTAGACTGCATCTTCTTTGAATTGCCGAAGCAACAGCCATACATTTTGAAAAACCAGAATTATGTGTACAAAAGAGACTGGTACAACCTCTTCTTCTACCATGGCCTTAATGTATTAAAATTTTTTCTCTTTCTTCATACTCTTGTTCCCTTACAGCCACCTGCTTCACCTCCCATCTTCCCTTTAAATCTTCTACCCCCAACCGGTTTGTTTTTATTTCTACGATCATTCCGATCACATTTCATCTCTGTTTCAACATTTTATTTTATCATGCTGAGCCATCCTTACCCAATGAATACTTCAGCCATTAACTATCAAACGATTATTAGACTTTCCTTGTTTAAAATTTTTTTACCTTTGTTTATTTAACCTCACTGTTACCATGTATAACATAAGTTTATGATCAGTATTAGTATCACCCTGTAAAAATAAGTATATATATTTGCGATTGTACAGCTTTGAAAATGAATTCTCCGAAAATAGAACTCTTCGCTGAACTAATCTTTTTTTCTTATTTAATGTCACAATGGGTGTACACTGATGATAATCTAATGAATGAGAATATCCAACTTCAGTTCATTTATCATATAAAATATATATTCACTGCTAATGATGACTAAAATTTATCGAATTTTAAAAGCCTACCATAAACAGTAGCACAAGATGCTTTTTCAAACTTAGGGTTTCTAAAGCAAATAACAAACATCAATATATTTTTATCGGTCAAATAAAGTTAGTTTTACGCGACATTACGAAAATCCACTAAATATGAGGTGTTCATTAAAAACTTGATCTTAAAAATAACTGGGAGCTTACCACATTTTTCGTAAAGCTTGGCAGTTTCATTAGCTAAACCAGCGACTAAATATGGTTTATGTTTTAATTCAATTGCTCTGGCAACAGTAACTGGAATATCAAAAAAGGGTATATTGTAAAGCTGGAGAGTTAATAAATTAAAACTTTAAAATAAGACATTGGGAAACAGATATGTGGAAAGAAAACACAAAGACGTACTTATAACGTAGGTATTTACCAAACTTTCACTCCATACACAATCCGTCAGAGACAACAAAGAACGTGAAGCAAACGTGTGTCAGTTTAACTTGTTACACTTTTAATTTTTCAAGTGTGTGATGGTTTATATTTCTCGACTGCCTGTACCACAGAAACATACTTCTTTATAAGTAACAGGATTTGTTTTGGTTGGAGCGTGACTATGGGATCCAAAGAACAACCACTTAAGAATATTCACCCACGACTGCTTAGTAAGGAAACATAGTAGTATTGACTGCTTATTTTTCGAATTGTAACACTGGCACCGAAAACCTGTGGTGTTTTATATTCAAGAACATCTCTCTCTCTCTCTTTGATACCTCATTGCATCTGTGGGTATGAAGTATCACTGGATGGAAAATCGAGCAGAATCTCACGGAATACATGATGTATCAAAGTTACTTTTTGAGTCAAATACGAGTGTGAGTTGTTTAGAGTAAATTACTAAATTAACTGAGGTCACGGTCTGTTTAACTTTGGCTAAACCGACCCCAAATGCCCTGGTATGACCGAGAGTGGGGTGAGCCCGCCCGCCCGCCCTCTCGAAATGCTCTCACACGGCCACGCGTATACAGCCATTACTAGGGAAGTCCTACTCACTGCCTTCTCGTGGCGGGGCTGTTGTTTACGAAAATGAGAGGACGAAAAGCGAATGTCCGGCGCTTTAACTGGATCCCAAACAAATGATGCACATGGGCGCCAGTATCCTAAAGGAACAAATGGCGTACGAACCAATCGTTGGTCACCGGCTACCATGGGAATGCATCCCCTTACGATGCTCCACTGCCTTGTGGGTTAGACCTTTAGGTCAAAGGCTCGGGTTGTGGCCCCCTAAGAAAACCACCTGCTTCGGTTTGGGCACCCGGGCAGTATCGCAGCCCAAACACACACAAATATGGTGGCGCATATATATTTGGTGCCCTCTTGTACCAATATTTATGTGTTGAAATAAAAATAATAATAATAATAAACCGACTCAACTACTCTTAAATACATGGGCTGTAAGTGCCTTTTCGGTTTACGGTATATGAATAGTGACTGACTTAATTAGAAGAGAATGACTTCTTAACTGATATTAGCCAACTTGTCGTTATCTCGAATAAATACTGGTCATTGGGACGGTTATTCTTCGCCGTTCAGCTAGTCCCGCGTAGACAGTAATTATGTGATTATCTTAAAATTACAATCTTAATAAGAAATTCCTGCCTTTGAAATAAAGAGCCAAGTTATTGTTTACTGTTCTCTTAGGAATCTTTTGGACAAATTAGCGATTTATCAGATTGGAGTAAAGAGTAGCCCTGGTTACTAAATTTTGTCCAGTATACTTATGCTTTGAGCATTATTAAGGATCAACATAGGTAGTGGTTAGGTATGAGTATATAACCGATGTATATCGAAGCAGATATTAACTACACTGATAAATGAATTCCTGGCTCATACGAGTGTACAGTTATCGATTTACAACAGTCATTCCCATAACTATAGATTATATAAGAGTAATCAGTGCTGCAGTAGACCCGACTTGTGAGAATTAACCATATATGTAACCAATAAATTGGTAAAAGAATAACTAAAAACTAAAGTATGAGAATAAAAAGCATAACACTACTAACTTTCTTGAGCTTCTGCTAACGACTGATTTATATAGGCATCCAGAATATTTGGATCCATATCACTGTTCGGAACAAATTCTGTAAACTCATGCATATACTTTGTCCGTAATAAATTAAACAATCCAGCAGCTGTTTTAAGCGATAAATGAACATCCTTGGCTTCATCTTCCGAAACACTGGTTTTTTATATAGATACATGGGAAATCAACACTTACTTTTCATTAGAAGCAACTTTTGCTGCATGTTTAGTATACCATAAAGCAACATTGAAAAGTACTGAGTATAATTCAAAGATAGAATCTGAGCGAACACTAAATAGATTAAGTTAGAAAATAAGCAAAAAGAACATTCACAAACATTGGTTCACCCTTCGGCTTTATACTGTCACACCATTTTACACAAACGAGACCTCTTAATTTACTGAACGGCGTTTTATTATCAGTTGCCACAATGAATCCCATTAATAACTGTAAATATCGATTCAAAGAAGTTATGACTGCTTCACATGGTACTGATGGATCCGATATTAGCTTGAGAAGTTCAACACGACGTTTTGCAGCGTCACTAAAATCAAATGAATAAGCGAAAGAATGTAGTCTTGAAAAACCCAAACTTTCAAATGGGATAGAAATATATCAAGGAAAAAATATAGGTGGGATGAATTGTCCAGAATTTTATAAAGTAAATTCTGATGTTAATTTTATGGAAAAGAAGTTTTGTCATTCAAAAGTTACTATTCAGCACTTTACATACTTCGATTATTACTGAGGATAAGAAGATAAGTGCAACACAGGATTATTTGTTTATTAATTAAATTGTCGTAGGAAAACTGCAAAACGTACTGCTCATGAGACAGGACTAAGCTGTATCGCTAAATTAAACTTAATAAGTAACTTATACTACACTAATAGCAAGGACTCTTGATGAACAGATATCTAAGAAACATATGGTTCCTATTTAGAAAGCCTGGTATCTACTATATCAAAAATGTATAAGTACGACTACGTGTTAAGCTAGGTGATGAGTGTAAGCAGCATAAGGAATTTAAAGCCATTGACTTATTACACCGTTGAGTTAACTGCTTCTATGAAACCGGTGTTCGTCTTGCTGTGCTGATGAGGTGTGGCAACTTGGACCGATGCGTGTATGTGCCTTGTCCTACGTTGTACCTGACTGACATTATGAAGAACTATTTTCTAACCCCTTCTATTATTTCGAAGAGATTAATGTTGTCCCAACACTTTGTTATAGACTTTCAGAAAGTTTTGAAAACAAGAAATAATAGATCTCATCAAACCCCAGTGTGATTTTACATCCGTCAATACAACAGTTGGTCACTATAGAAACTACACAAATACGTATCTCATTAGAACAAAAGGTGAAAGGCAGAATAAATCAACTCTATTAGAAAAATGGACGTGAATGGTGAAAAAGAAGCGAATAAGATCAAACAATAGAAAGTATGGAGTGAGAGAAATCGACATTTAAATGAAGAGAAAAAATCCATCTAACTACGTAAATGGACCAATTTGGCACCATATCACTCAATGTCTTCAACTATAAATTACGACTATTTACGAATCTCAGCCAGTATTTATGTATCACTACTCCTCAAGGGATAAATTGATAGTCGATTACTCAACAAGCTAATACTGTCTGGATCTATCCATCCCAAGCTTTTTTCCAACTTGATTCTATAGTATATCAAGGTAAGTGGTCAATGAATTGAATATGAATATGACCGAATACTTGTATTCCATGCATATCATCTACTGCTATATGGTAAGTTTCACAAATATATGGGAAGGTTGCAAAACGAAATAGATATTAATCAGTCAAAATAGTGATGAAAACTATGACAACCCATTATTGTCTTATTAAACAGTGGACATACCTGCATAGAGTTTTGCAGCTCAAATCTTTAGCAACTGCACCAACGTCGAAAGTATACTTAGCAGTAGCCTTTAAGTGATTCCTATGAAACCAATCTGTCATTTTAGATGTTCTTAAACCACGTAAATACCAAATAAAGTCAAGGTCAAAGAAGTGATTACTTCGTAGAAAACCCGACACTTCAAGTGGAAATATATTTAAGAACTGCAAAAAAAAAAAGATTATAACTAAATAATCTTCATGAATGTCTTGAATTGACATTAAGTGATTGTTCTTACTCATTCACACCCTAAATGACACTTGGAAAAATACAAACGTAATTGATGGAAATGCGATGTGCCGAAGCGACTCTATGTGAGAGAGTGACTTCAACAGAAGTCAAATACAAATTACGATCTGACCGAACCCTTGTACAAAAAGCACATTGGTCCAAAATAATGTGTCGAAACAACTTAGTAAACTTTAACAACACACAATGGTGCGAATAAATGACTGAATTCAGTGAAACGTAGAACCTGAAATACATACACTGTTGCAAGTATCTGCAGTCTGCGAAGCCTGTGGAAGTGGGCAGTAATTTAACAATCGTTGAATGTTGTCGAAATTACAGAGTATCGGGACGGTTAGTTGACAGTGAACTTAATAAACTTCGTCGTTTCCCTCAGAGAAACTTGAAAAATAATTCTTTCATTCACAACCACAGGAAAACTAGGCCAGAAGTGGGGTATTTTGACAAGCGTATTACTCGCATTATAGCTTACATCAGTTTGTGGTGAATACCATAGTAATCTCTAAACATATGTTTAGATATATGTTAGATAATCGCGTTTAAATCATCTCCCTACTGAAACGCTACGATCTCTTATCAGAAATTACTTTATAACTAGAGGAAGTAAACTCTACTAAAAGGCACTTAAAGGGAGTCCATGTACTTTATTTACAATAAGGATTGGCTTCCAGAACCAAGCGTTGACATCATAATAAAAGGAACAGTAACTGTGAATTCGTCATTAGTAGACAGTTTTGTAACCCTCAAAGGGTGATAACCTGTTAACATACCACAGCACAAAACAAAATATGCCCAATATTAAGACGACTAAAAAAGCAACAATCTGCAATAGAAGTACAAATATTTCGCACTGTTTATTTGAGGTTTATCGCGAAGCATTATTTTGAAGTTGAATACATAATTGGTCGTTTCTGAAAATTCTAATAGTAGATCACCCGCTAATTACTTTTGCCGAAACGACCTTGACGCGAATGTAAATTCCGCAGAATATGGTCCAATGTCCTATGTATTTGCACGAAGAATAACACCTACATCACAGAGATTTTTATATATTTTAATATCATGAGCTTTTCATACTGTTCTGAAAAATCTTTCATCCCGTCTTCTACAACGAAATGAGCAATTTTAAAAAGTGAACTATTGGTTGATGCTTTATAAAAAGTAATTTTCCCTGCAGTCCTTACTTTTTCTCTCGAATGTGAACGTTGTTAACTTACCTAACATCAGCTACATAACCTGCAAATGCTAAGTTGACTAATTTATAATATTTTTTCCTACATGGCTTATTAGTGAGGTTAAATCCTCGGGATTCCTTCACTATGCGATACAAGGTGTTATCATAGGTTTACTTTTCAGGATAATAATTTGCATATCTCCTTCAGTGAAATATAGGAGATTACGGTGTGTCTCGAAGTCACATTACACCGTTTGGTGGATTTTTGGAGTACCAGATGAATGGAGATAATAACCTGTAGTAATGTTTTTTGCTACCTTGGGCCAAGTCAGTTTGATTTTTTCTTTCTTAATGGGTTTGGCTATGATATGACATTGAAAACTGATGGTGAAAATTTTTTTCCACTTCAAATTGTGACCTTGACTTAGATTTTACGGGCCATACCAAACTCTTTCGCCATTATTCTTCGTGCAACTTCAGTACCACTCCCTAGTCTTTTGTCGTTCTTCAACAGTTGTACTAGCAGTCGATATCTATCTGAAAATGTCCCAGATGATTTACCGGGAAGATCTGCTTTAGTAACAGAAATAAATCTAGGCACATATAACAATCTGCGTCGTATCTAATTAAAATTTGTATAACACCGTTTATTCAGTAATCAACCTTGACTTAAATAAAGAGGCTGCAACCTAAAAAATTGCTTAACGATTCTTCCATCAGATGTTAAATAAGAACGTGGATAGGTAACTTTTTAAGCTTAACAATTGTGCGTTACAGTTTCCAGAATTATTCCTCAGCGATCGATGCGTCAGATGCCACCTTTCATTGACATTGACGAGGTCAGCTATTAACGGAGAAGCAAAAATGGTCAAGGATGTTCCGTTCAAATGCTGACGTTGATAAAAGATGCAATACAAATTTCACGGAAGCGAAATGTAGTTATGAAGCTCTATTGATTGATGAGAAAAACGATGTACTCATATGTTTCACGGAGAACGATCCTTCATAAAGCATACCGTCATCGGAAAAGGTAATATTCAAGATGAGAAATGTGCATGGACTGGAAATTAAGAGACCAAGAATGGCTCTTTTTAGTGCCACTCACAAATAGATTTTTATACATTCTTATTACTTTATTCCATTTTGTTATATGTATTCACCAATAATTATAAACAAATAGCTGTAATTTTACATTCTATACGTAGTTTATGTATTTTTAGAGGGAATCCGATCAGTGCATAGTTAGTATTAACGCCTTTTTAGCGTACATTATAAGTAATTACTTCAACCAGGGTCATATGTTTGCGCAATTTAAGTTTCGTACTCTTCAATATGAAGTCATAATGACTGGAAGTGTGATGAATGTCGTTAAAATCGATTAGCGTTTATTAGTGGTCAACTTAGATCGGACGATACTTTGACCAACGTAATTCTGACGTATGATGATAATTGACTGTATCAAATGTGAAGCACTATGGTAAGCTAATAAAAGAAACAATAATATTTGATCTGTTAATTAAATTCGGTTTTTCGCTATATTTCAGTATGGACCTGTCAGGGAACATAAATTAATAGCACTATTCTTCGTTTGTTGGATAGTGTGGAAAGCAATACAACTTGATGGTGAACACAATCTCTGTGTGCTAAAAGTTACTTAAAATAATCAGCACCTGGATTGCTTCAAGTTTACTGCGTTATACCCAGGCCAGTGTGATCATTACAGTCTGAACTTGAACTTATCACTGAATAGCATTTTTACACGATTTTCAGCCCATATTTGTTTAAACCCGATTCGCAAGTGAAAATATACAGCCCTTTTCAAATGAACTCTCACAAAGCCCTGGTGAATGATACATCTGAACTTGGCTAACATATGCTACATGATAACTTGAAAACAATAATTGTAGTAGCAATGAATCATGGATGACAGATCAGTAATACGTTTTTATGACTCATCAATTATCAGTATTATATCATGCACACTACTCCTTGTAGTATAAGTACACATAAACTTAAATAACAATTGTTCAACACAATATTAGCACGCCAGTCAAAAGGACAGTGTAACTTTTCCTCACTGAGTAAATTCTATTGTTTTGATCGTTTATTACGTATCAAGACTACTGTTTTCACTTTAATTGAATCTAAAGTGTTCGATTGGAGTATCGTTTCGGTTTCTAAAGTAGTTTGTCGTCGGTACTTTCGAGTACTTTGTTTTCTATTGTATCTGTTAGTACTTTTGGTTCTAACAATCTACAGTTTTCCACTTATTTTGGTCATAGATCATTTTTGTCTCTGAGTATTATTGCATCTTGTTATTTTTTAAAAAACCTCTGTCTCATGACTGAACAGTGCAAAAAAGCAATTGCCAACGTCCGGGCTGTCATTATCCCGTTGAAAGCGGCATGCAGTGCGGAGTGCAAATGCTGATACCACGAGGTTTGCACGAATTTAACGCCCGCGGCTTCCAAACGGTTCAGTAAAAACGGTTGAGTATGACTTTGTCAACAGTACTGTTCGGATACAAACAGCTTGCTGACCGAGGCACTGGTAAATGCAACAAAAAATTGTTTTGGCAAGCGTGGTTGGGACACATCGAACAGTACTCGTTCTGTCGACACGCAAATTGGTGTGAAGCAAACTCAGGTGACTCACAGCGACCAAAGGAGGAAAACAGTTTTCAAAAATGTCCTTCTTATCTAAAAACTCAAGAAAAGAAGTTCCTTCCGTCCCGTGTCTTCTAAATGGTATCCATCAGGAAACGCCTAGAAGCCGCGATCGCAAGGCTCGATCGGTTTCTAGCGGGAAACATAACCTGACCTCCCAAATCGTCGACAACCCTCCGGAATGCCACAGTTTGTTTGGCGCGGCTGTGGTTGCTTCTTCAAGCAACGTTGATGAATGGGTACAGGTTGTAAGGACGAAACAACATAACGATATGAAAGGGAATCCTGCCCCCGTAAAAGTAATCGAGAAGTCGAAGGCTGATTACAGTGAAAGATCAGTTATTTTCAATAGAATCAAGGAGAGCGAAAGCTCTGAACCAATAACTCGTTTTGAGCATGACATTGTGATGATAAAATAGCTGCTTAATCAACTCATGCCTCATAATATCTCCGGAGTCACCTTGCTAAAGGTGTACAGACTAGGTAGTCTAGCAAACTTGATGCCTAATCAATCACGACTACTTAAAGTAGTATTCAAATCTTTGAATGAACGTGACTTAATTTTACAGAATGGACATAAATTAAAGGGTTCAGGAGTTTTTATCCGTAAGGACTTGCCGTTGGCAAACCTCGTAAAAAGACGGGAAGCCGAGAAAGAACTACAACTTAGGTTAGACGCTGGCGAAAAGGACATAAAAATTGTAAATTTTCGGGTTGTAAGGCTGCGACAGAGAATGATACCGAAGCCACTCTGGGTGAAGCACGAAGCCACTTAAATAGGCTTCGGATCTGTTACACTAATACCCGAAGCTTACTCAATAAGCGATCGGAACTAGGTGTACAGATCGACTCTACAAAGCCTGACATAATCGCAGTCACGGAAACCTGGCTGACACAGTCTATAGATAGTATGGAACTTGATTTCGAGGGTTTTACGTCAGTAAGGGTCGACAGAATACAAAAACATAAAGGA